CTGCTCTCACACGCCGTCCATATGGGCGACCGCATGGGCTGCCACTCTCATGTGCCGTTCATACGGGCATCCATACAGGCTGCCGCAGTCGTGTGCCATTCATACGGGTGTCCGTACAGGCTGCCTCTCGCATGGCGACCATACAGGCTGCTGCTCTCACGTGCCGTCCATACGGGCATCCGTACGGGCTGCCGCTCTCATGCGCCATTCATACGGGCATCCGTACAGGCTGCCTCTCGCATGGCAACTGTACGGGCTGCTGCTCTCACGTGCCATCCATACGGGCATCCGTATGGGCTGCTGTGCGTGCACACTCCGTACCGGATGCCGCTCACACGGCAGCCCGTATGAACACCATGCAAGTGGCAGCCTGTATGGCCACTGCGTGCGAGCGGCAGCCCGTATGGAATGTGCATGTGTGGCATTCTGTACAGAGTGCACACGCACAGGATGCCACACATGTGCAGTTTGTACGGGATGCCGCTCATGCGCACTCTGTACAGGTTGCCCTGCCCTGGGTACCAGAGAGGGTTCCTCTGCCACTGCTCATAGCTAAGGATTGGAGGATCCTCAACATTATGCAGAAATACCCTTCTTCATTGATGCTATGCCTTAGTCAAACACAGAATCAGAAATAGATTCATTATTTGATCAGCGGTGCCCTTTCCTAGCTCAGATATGTAAACTGTGCAACAGGTGAAGTGTATGTTTACTCTTGGCTGTTTTCCTCTCCACCAACCTTTTTATATTAAGTTATACCATGTGGGCACAAATATCCACGGATGGTTTCAATTTACAAGCAAAGTTCTTTTTTTCTGCACCAGTGACCAAAGAAACAATCTTCTGTAAAGGAGCACATTGGTAGATCAATGAATGCACTGCAGTGGAGCGGCTGGTCTTGCAGCTATATCAATAACAAGCCAACCTGCACCTAAAAGGTTTCCTCTTTGTTTTCTGTGAAGTGAGAAAAGATACTCTGCCTATGCATCCAAATTTAAGGGAAAGTTGTTGTTGTTGTTGTTGTTGTTGCTGCTGCTGTTTTGTTGTTGTTTTAGCACAGTAAACCTTTTATATGTGCTTCTTTCTCAGTCAATGCTATCTACATGAAAGTCCACCTTATTGGGGGAGAGAAAATAGATCAGGATCTACTTGTAGATCTTGAGTTGATTTGTAGTAGATCTGCACAGGTTTCAGACTCCCAGTTGTCTTAACAATAGCGACAACGTAGAAGTTCTTCCTATTCCCAGTTAGGCTGGTCAAAAGGGGAGCTGGGGTGGGGCGAAGAGTGGATTTTTGTGTGTGAATGGAGTTGATGGCTTGGTTTTGGGACTGATAAATGGGATCCTCATAACAGAGGGTCCTGGTTGCGCATGGGACCCAAGAACTCACCTGATAGGGTTAAAATGGGGGGGGAGGAGCAAGAAGTCCTGGCCATTCCCCTGGGATCACACCAGGCAATTTTAGCCAATAGCCAGTGGGTGGCATGACCCCAGGGGCTTTAAAAACAACAGTGTGATGCAAGGAGGGGCACTTGCTTTGCACTGTTGAACACCCGCCCACCCTCCCTAGTTTAGGTAGCGTCGCTTAGCCTTGCTTTGGTTTGGGTCGCCTGTTTTGGAACAGGGGCTGGGTAGGAATTTTTCCATTTGGCAGATTGGCTTTAGCCATTTGGTTTCTGCCTACCCCTTAGCAAATCGTCACAACTTGTAAGGTGGCGGTTAGGCACTGGCTCAGTTGGATTGTGGGGAGGGGAGGTGCGGCCATCACCTGCCCCTCCAGGAACTGGGTATTCCGTTAAAGGAATCTGGGGGTCCTGGATCTCGTCTGAAGTCCACTTGAGGGGCTAGGGCCATGCCGGGACCACAGGAACCCCGGGATGAGCTTAGGTTGGTCCTCATCGACCTAGCTCCCTCGTTTGGTTTACCCCATTTGACGATCATCCTGAGAGGTGGAGCCAGTTATAGTGGGGAGTCAGTGCCTAAGCCAATACCGCTCACATGATTGTATTTCAATAAAGTTGTGGCCAAAAATTTTGCCCCAAAACTTAAACTAATATAAGTGTCCGTGTGTATTTATTTTGGGGGTGGGTCTTGGGGCCTCGAGACGCAACTATTTCCTGAGCTGACTAAGTGCTCAGAGGTATTCTATTTGTTACTTTTCAGTGTATGTCTACCCAAAGAGTAAAAACTACTTTGAATGTTTTTCTTTCAGTCAAGCGGTATATGATTTAAAACAAATAAAAAGGGGTGTTAATTTTCAAAATTTCTATCTCTTTATTCATGCTCCTGATTTATTTTATTTTGGTCAGTCTGAGTTCAGTAGGGAAGTGAGTAGTGAATTGATCACCTGACTATTTCATCACAAGTTCAGATAGCCAAGCCCTGCAAATTATCATTTTGAAATCTCTGCAGCAGCATGCTAGATTGGGATCTGTGTCAACGGCGGAGCAATTGGCCTCTCTGAAATCTTCATTTTAAAATGAGGAAACTACCACTGTCAAAATTCAACACAGGCATAATTCACATTCACCCCTATATATCAACCTTTTCCACACTTGAATTGAATCTACAGTAAATTCAGCCGAAAATTGATGAGGAAATTTTCCATTTCCGATTTTAATACTTAGGAATACACAGGATTATGTATTCTCACAAAATCTGGATTCTTGCAAACTGTATCAAATATGCATGCATGAGAATGAGCCATGTGCACAGTGCAAGAATGATTTGAATTCTGAGGTACTATATATCCCATGTTGCTGTATGACCATGATACATGAGGTAAGCATGTATATAACAAAATCCAGTGGGGGGGCATTCTTCAAAGACAGGGGGGTGGGATTTTAAAAAGTATATGATCATACATATGTATATGTGTGTGTGTGTTTATTTATATATATGTGTTTGTGTATGCACAACATCTTAAGATATGAAAATAGTTTCAAAAAGTGGCTATGCAAATTAGCTCCTTGACCTTTTCTCAGCCTTGATTATGTGCACATTTGCAAGACCTATTGAAATGAATGGGAGTTTCGCAGCCTGCATGCGAGTGGTGAAGAGTGGAAGTTGGAGTGTGATTTTGTAAACACTGCAAAGACTGGCCAAAGGAACAAAGGAAGGTAAGAATTAACTCTTCCAGCACATCAGGTCTGAGACAATAACGATTATGAAGGACTACACATGTGAAATGGATTTAATATTTTTAATAAATAACCGAGACGCTGTCTGTGAGGAGGCAATGAGAGGCGGCTGTAAGAATGGACAACAACAAACGAAGGATGAAATTTATATCAATGAAGAGATGATTGTGGCTACAGGAGGAAAAGATGAACATATGTTTGCAACAGGAGCAGGAAACCTGATTTTTTTAAAAAAAGAAAAAGAAAGAAATTGTATTAAATTAAGGAATTCGGTTCGATTTGTAAAAATTTGGAAAACTAATAAAAGTAATTTGGAAAAGAAAGAAATGAAGGAATGTACTGCATACAACAGGCATCCCCAACCTGCGGCCCTCCAGATGTTTTGGGACTACAACTCCCATCATCCCTAGCTAACAGGACCAGTGGTCAGGGATGATGGGAGTTGTAGTCCCAAAACATCTGGAGGGCTGAGTTTGCCTGTGCGATGCTAAAATTTGGCACTCCCTCCCCACCTCTCGCACTGCATTCTACAGCGTTGTTGTGACGCCCCCTGCAAGCTGGTGCCCAGTGCCGCTGAACTGGTTGCCCTACCCTAAAACTGCCTTTGTAGGTAGTAGAAGATCACAGATGTGCTCATGCAGAAAAAGGCCCATTCAGTTTGAAAGAAGAAGTTTCCAACAGGAAGATGCACAGAACAACCAGTTTGCAAGGTTCCATGGGCTAGGTATATAATTCAAGAGGATATTTTCCTCTGTAAATGTAAGGTTGCCCTGCACAGTTCTGTTGATAGTTTCTGTTACCTTCTGCCAAAAATCTTTCAATGTAGGACAATGAAAAAACCTATGTTTTAGAGAAGCATTATCCCCATTGCATCTCCAACAGTTAGATACCTTAGACATACTATAATAGGTTAAGATCTGGTGAAGTAGAATAACAACCTTGTAAAGTGTACAGTTCTGGGTCCCCATTCAATTTCCCTTCTACATGGGTTGTTTCTATTTTTCTTTCTCTCTCTTTTATTTACATCTCACCATGTTTAGTGCACATATAATTATGTACTTTTTGAATTTTCAATACAGATTTATTTATTTTTTTAAAAAAAGAACCAGTTTGCAAATTACCTAACAGGATTTCTGCAGCCCTTAATCGTTACTCAACATCTAAAGCTTCTGAATAAAACTAACTCAAGGAAGCAACTTGCAGACTACACACCTTCTACCTCTAGGTGATTTGAAAGAAAAAGATTTATGAACAAATCTGATACACGTAATTAACCTAATTTGAGTAAGGCACGATAGAACCTGAATCTAAATTAAACAAAATTAAGTCCTGATAAAAATTTACTCTCCCCATGTCCTCTGTTGAGCCTACGGTTTAGTGTAATGTATCAGGTAAGAACCGTTAAGTCAAAAAATGAATGAATCTCACACTTCTTGCACTATTTATTTTAGCCCTTTAATTTTTATACCTCCGATATATACTGCATATTATGCTTAATTAACTTTTTATTATAGTGTTTAAGTAGGCCAGCCTGTGATGTGATAAGAATACATTGGCTGTGGCTGAAAATTAAATTTGACCTACAGGATGTTGCTTCGAAGGTTGTACTTCAAAGGAGGACTTTCTGGGTTACAGGCCCATTTAACCTCCGTGTTATGTATGCCAGGGGTAGGGAACTTGTGGTGCTCTGGCGTTTCCTGGACTATAACTCCCATCATCCCAGACCATGTTAGCTGGGACTGATGGGACGTTCAAACAGATCTGATGGAAGCCAAAAATTCTGCAGTTAAGCGTTCAAATTCCCACTCAGCCAGTGCTTTCTCTCTCTCGCAGTACATGCTTGTATGCCAGGCATCCCCAACCTTCGCCCCTCCAGATGTTTTGGACTACAATTCCCATCATCCCTGACCACTGGTCCTGTTGGGTAGAGATGATGGGAGTTGTAGTCCCAAAACATCTGGAGGGCCGCAGGTTGGGGATGCCTGTTGTATGCAATTCTGGCATCTCCCCGCCCACCCTCCCCGCCAAATATCCCACAACATTGCAGTAGTCAAATAACAGGACCATTATATTTTTATTTTTAATTTTTATATACTTTTCAGATTTATACATTTCACTGATTTTACAATCACTTTGACATTTCAAAACATGACTTCCTTCCCCCTCTTTCTGCAGTTCCTTAAATTTATTTTTAATACCTTCTGCATATCCAAATTAACTTTAATTTGCTCATTTATTCATCTACTTTAAATATATACTCTTACTAAACTGCAGGTTATTACAGTGATCCCGCCAATGTTCTTATCTGTTTACAATTTATCTGTAGATATTCAATAAACCATTTCCATTCTTTTATAAAAAGTTTGTCACCATGATTTCTTATACTTCCGGTAAGTTTCACTATTTCTGCATATTCCATAAGTTTTTGTATCCATTCTTCCTTTGCTGGGACTTCTGCTTCCTCCCATTTCGGGGCAAGTAGCATTATTGCCGCTGTAGTAGCATACATGAATACGTTTCTATACAGTTTCGGTAGTTCTGTCCCTATAATTCCCAAATTCTTTTGGGAAGTAAGTACAGACCTCTAAGCAAAATAATGAAAATAATGAGGAGAGGTAAGGAAGGGAAAACCTATGTGACTCATACAAAGTTCTCTCTAGCCCAGCATCCTAATCTCACAGTGGCCAGCCAGATATATATGGGAAATTTGCAAGCAGAGCATGAATGTACTCGTGCTTGCAGCTCGTGATCCGCTGCAACTGACATTGAGAATGTTACTGCTGGAGGCTTCTTCTTCTTTGGCAATCACTTGTAGCTGACTACGATTGTCTTCCATAAACACATTTTTAAAAGTGAGTCCATGAGTGACGGTGGAGGCCAATTCTGGATCCACACATCCTTCCACAGTGGGGACATAGGTTTCCTGGCAGGAGCTGATTACGGTGAGGGTTTGCCAAGCATATGTACCTCTTAGCACGTTTCTCCCTTTTGTCCTGAGTTCGAGCGTCTTCAAAGCCCATGACACCTTTGGTAAAGGCTGTTCTCCAATCGGAGCCCTCGCAGGCCAGTGTTTCCCAGTTGTCAGTGTTTATACTACATTTTTAAAGATTTGCCTTGAGAGAGTCTTTGAACCTCTTTTGTTGACCACCAGCATTACGCTTTCCGTTTTTAAGTTCGGAATAGAGTAGCCGCTTTGGAAGACGATAATCAGGCATCCGCACAACATGACCAGTCCAACAAAGTTGATGTTGAGGACTCATTGCTTCAATACTGGTGATCTTTGCTTCTTCCAGTACACTGGCATTAGTTTGCCTGTCTTCCCAAGTGATGTGTTAAACACCGTTGATGGAATTTTTCAAGGAGTTGGAGATGGTGTTTATAAGTGGTCCAAGTTTCACAAGCATACAGTAAGGTTGGTAGCAAAATACATAACCATCATGACTAGCAGCTATTGATAGCCTTGTCCTCCGTAACTCAGTTTAGCCTTCTTTGTTAAGTTTCCAGTCTTCATTTCTGCACACTTTAAAATCCTTTCGATGAAAGGATTCATTTAGATAGGTTAACTCCCAGCCTTGCAGGGCACAAATTAGAATCAAAATGGATTGTAGTCTCTTGGGGAACTCTCTAGACTAGTGTTCCTAATTCTCCCTGCCCTGCACTTTTAGATTTAGCTTCTGTTTGCCAACTTCTCTGCAAACAGTTGGGGGTTTGCCCATTAGTCTGGTGCTTGGATGCTGAGCAATTATCTCTACATTTCTGGCACACACACACTGAAATATTTCCTCCTTTAACTTAAGAGAGATGCGTCTGAGACGGACAGCGTCCCTTCGTCAGGAGCTGGTGGCTAATGAATGCAAATGAGGGAAGTCATTCTCCACTTGGCTGATAATGATAGTTTTATAGGTAGAATATTTGCTTCCTTAAACGAGACCTGCCTTGTATGCCTGTGGTAGAGGAGTCAGGCGGAAGGGAGGCGATGGCTTTAATTGGTAAATTAGTTGGTTTCCTCCCTGCGTTTAAACCCAGCTGCCCACAGAGCAGGGGAGTTGGGTAGAAGGCAGCCAGCGGGGAGAAGAAGCAAGACAAAAGGGAGGAGGGGGGGAAACATAATAAGATAAATCCAAAGGCAAAGTCTAGCTAGCAGCAAGTGCTCAGCAAACGGACTGAAAACACATTTGTGATCACTTACAATTAGCCAGACTCTAGGGGTGCGTGGGTCTTCCTTGCCCCTTCCAATAAATTAATCTAATTAAAATTCTAAGCATCCCTCAGCTGTCATGGGCATTGCTTGGGATGGGAATGACGTCTATCAGTATGTACATATTTTTGATGCTCACAGTGATTCATCTCTGTATGGTTCAGCACTCTTGCCCTGAAATTCTTACTCCATTTATATTTCATAGCAAGATATACTTGAGCCGATCTTCTCCTTTTGCATTTGCCTGGTCAGCATGCAGCAGACCAAACCAGCAATGCTTGGAATTGGATTTCTTAAACTCAGCCTTGGTACCCCTACTGCTGGCATTGGGAAAACAAAGGATTTCTCAATCTTTATTTTGGAATGGTCCAGATTCTGCAATTCCAACATTTTGTTGCCAATTGCTCACAATAGACTCCAGTTCCAAATGAGAGAGAGAGGTCTTCTCTGCCTGTCTGTCTCTCTGTGTCGAATGCTGGAACTACATCTTGCTATGAAATACAAATGTGGTAAGAAATTCAGGGCCATAATGAGATGAGTGAGGCCAGAGGCAAAAGTAGATGAATATGTGTTCCAGACTTTTGCACAGTAAGTTACTGTTAAAGGTTAGGGATGGTCAGTCTGGATGATATCTGTTAGTTCCTTCCAAGCCAGTGATTCTGGAATCATCTACATTAGTAAAGAAACAGTGATCTGAACGCACTATAAACATGGAACCAGAGAGCAGGAAATTTTAAAACGTGATTTTCCATATAGATTTTGTTGTTGTTGAAACGGTCTAATTTCTGACTGATTTATAGTGTTTTCCCCCCCCTGTGTTTAGATCTATCCTCTGTATCAAGGAGGCTTAGAATCTAGCAGAAGAAGCAACTGAAATGACCATTTGACAGATATTTGTAGGATAATGGCTTTAGCTGGCCAGTTACACATTCACATGCCTAAAAAGGGTTCCTCTACTGCCATATTCCCTATATTTGTCTTCTCTTACATGGATTTGGGAAAAGGGAAAATGGCAGGAACAGTACACCAGGGTGGGTTTTCCTCATAATAAACCCACTGAAATTAATGAACATGGCTTCGGTAGGTCTACTTGGAATAAAACACCACCCCATGGTTCTGCCGCCACCCCCCATGGAACACCCTCCCTTCAGATGTCAAGGAGATAAAGAAATACATAACTTTTAGAAGATATCTGAAGGCAGCCCTGTATTGGGATGTTTTTAATTATTGATATTTTATTATGTTTGATATATGCTGTAAGCCACCCAGAGTAGCTGGGGAAATCCAACCAGATGGGTGGGGAGGAAGAAGACGAAGACGAAGACGAAGAAGAAGAAGAAGAAGAAGAAGAAGAAGAAGAAGAAGAAGCGGTGTTGATAGAAGTTTCTCTAGGCATCAACAGATGCAGGGCTGGCCCTACCATTATAGTGACTGGGGGCAGCTGGCTCAGGCAGGAGGTGAAAGGCAGAATGGTGGCAAGGGGTTGGTGGAAGCCTTGTGTGTGCCTTGTGGCTTGCCCCATAAACTAGCTACCCATCTGCCATCAGCCACAGAGGAACATGTCATCTTATCACCAGCACCGAAGTAAAATTTGACTGCCTGCCCAGTCAGCTTCTAAACATGGACAAGATGGAAGCACCGTCTTGTTTTTGGCCTCAGGCTGCAAAATGTCTTCAGCTAGTCTTGTCAATTGGGGTGCAATAGTGCCTTGCTCTGGAATGGGACTGAGTTACAATGCTCCAAAATAATTCTTTTTAACTGCCTCCATCCTGAACTGGCCTGGAGGCAATTTACCCACCATTAAATGTTACCACTCTCCCTGGAAACTCTCCATGCAAGGGAGAGTTGTGAGGCCTGAGCATTCATATTACTGCCCTGGCAGGGGTTCATCTTCTTGTCAAAGTCGCCTACACGTAGTGATAGGAAAGTGTGCCCTGTTCCTAATACCGGGTGAGATGGACTGAGGATCTAATTCTATATACAGCCTCTGTTTCATATTCTTTGGAGACAATTCTCTCGTTTCAGAGCAACGGACTGCGCTTTGAGCTTCGAGTTTTTTAAAAGATTAATTTCAGAAATGGCATCTGGCTCCACACATGTGCATTATACTTGTAGATCATTCCAGCAGGACCTTGGGGCACCTGGCATCTCATACTTTTCAATAGCTGTCATAATGCACAGGGAATTTGATGATTGATGCAGAATCAATGGCACTTTACCTGATTTATCCTGCAATCATCACAGAGAAATCATTTTAGCCGATTTGACTCAGCAAATGTCTAGATGGAAGTCTCTCTCTCTCTCTCTCTCTCTCTCTCTCACACACACACACACACACACACACACACACACAGAGAGAGAGAGAGAGAGAGAGAGAGAGAGAGAGAGAGATTGAAGGCTAAATTGAACTTGCACACTCAGCATAACTGGAAAAAAGTGGACATGATAGACACTCAGAGTAAACTATCCTGTTAAGAATACCAGTGTGTTGGTGATAAAGCAATGCAATTCCCCATTTGCTACAGCTCTCCTCTGCTAGAAGCAGAAGAGAGGGGGGATCTCCCTAGGGGAGAATGTTATGGCCTGAGGGCAATTTTGCCCAATGGGAAGAGTTGGTGACAAGCTATTTAAGCCTGCTCTGGCCCACACCCTCCCTTCTCCATTATTCAGGACTCAACATCCCATCCTTTTGCACTGTGAGCCTACAGGCTAGTCGTCTGTTTTCCAGGGACCGAGTAGAAATTTTTGGAGCTGGTCTGAGTCTTTTTTTGGTATCAGAGGCTTCCCTTTTCTGCTGCTCCACACTGTTGAGTGATGTTGGAGTGGTGCTCCTTCAGTTTGGAATGTTGTTTGGGCAGGTAAGAAGATTTAAGAAAGAATGGAACGCTTATCTAAGGTATTATTGGGTTGTGGGCGTTCCTTAGTTACTACTGTCAGACATGGCCTGAGGGTGCTGGGAAGTGCCTTTTGGCCTGATGGACATCAGGGTGAATGTTGACCAATGGGGCCATGGTGTGCCTCTTGGGCTGTTACATCCCAGGTCCAGGCAATGGGGAGGGAGGAATCTTAAGAAACCTTGCTGCATGCAAGGTAAAAGGTAAAGGACCCTTGGACAGTTAAGTCCAGTCAAAGGCGACTATGGGGTTGTGGCACATATCTTGCTTTCAGGCCGAGGGAGCTGGCATTTGTCCGCAGACAGCTTTCCGGGTCATGTGGCCAGCATGACTAAACTGCTTCTGGCGCAACGGGACACCGTGACAGAAGCCAGAGAGCATGGAAACACTGTTTATCTTCCCACCACAGCAGTACCTATTTATCTACTTGCACTGGTGTGCTTTCGAACTGCTAGGTTGGCAGGAACTGGGACAGAGCAATGGGAACTCACCGTCAAAGGGATTCAAGCCATCAATCTTACAATCAGCAAGCCCAAGAGGCTCAGTGGTTCAAGTAGAGATTGCCCTTATCTAGTAATGAACACCTGCCCAGACTTAATTTGATTTGGTTACATTGGTTGAATCTGACTAGTTTGTTTCTTTTGCAGATCCACAAGTTGTGATATATAATAAATATAACTGCCCACATTTGGTTGTTTTGACTCTTCTTCTTGGTGTGCTAGCAAAGAAGCTAGCAAGGACTCAGATTTGATGGCCAATGCTAGTACATCATACTTCTTAAAGGCAGGAGTTTGGCACTGCCATTACATTTCCATCAAGTCCATAAACTCCAGCATTGCCCAGAGTCAGGTTGTGTATCCCTCTTCACTGTGTAAGCTTGGGCAACTGTCTTAGGGACAGTGCAGGATTTACTCCTTAGCCTTTTCTCTTGCTGAAGATATCCCACAAAGCAGCAGACGTTTAGGTCCGTCAAAGCTCTTCTCCACCCCTGATGCAGAGGATTGCTGCTACAAAGAAAACCTTGAGGTGTGAGAGCCAGTGTGGTGTAGTGGTTAAGAGCAGTGGACTCATAATTTGGTGAACTGGGTTTGATTCCCCACTGCTCCACATGCAGCTGCTGGGTGACCTTGGGCTAGTCACACTTCTCTGAAGTCTCTCAGCCTCACTCACCTCATAGAGTGTTTGCTGTGGGGGAGGAAGGGAAAAGGAGATTATTAGCCGCTTTGAGACTCCTTAGGGTAGTGATAAAGTGGGATATCAAATCCAAACTATTCTTTTTCTCCTTCTACTCATGTGAAAAGAAAATTCCATGTAAAATACACATGCTGCTTGCTTCCCAGTGACAGTCTCTCACAGAAGCCTAGAACAAACTGGAACAAAACAAGTGCACTGTGCTTTGCTAGGTGAATTTACAAAGCTGCCCTTGCATGGGCCCTAACACTGTGGAGATTGCTGTCATTCAACCTGTCATATATGAATAAGCAGCTTAACACCACTGACCCAACAAATCATTCTTCCATGCATGCTCATATGTCAGTTTCAGGTGCAGCTGTCATCACAGAGCTTCTTCGAGTTTTCATATCTCTCTGGTAAACCATGACGGAATGTTTTGTCTTATGTGGACTTGCGAAGGACTTCGCAATCTCATATACTGAAATGCTTTTCCTCTTCCTCTTGTGCAATTTGGATCTCCTGATAAAGGGCGGGGGCTTGTCCTTTCAGGGACACAGCAGTGGTGGGCGGGGCCAGAGGAAAAATTGAGTGGAGTAACCTACACGGCTCTTAATTTGTGTGGCAGGCCATGCAAAAGTCAGATCTTTTGACACACATCTTCAGACACACCTGTCAGACGGCAAAAGAACCAACCTCCACAGCAGGTTGCCGGAAATGGACAAGACAAGATAACGTCCTTACCATCTGTTTTTATTCAATATTCACAGAGAGGGGCTTGGGAATGTGGCCTCTCGGAATAATGGCATTGCTCCAAGTGAGTCTCCACCTCCTCCCTGTCTCCCATTATATGCACTAAGGGTGCTGCTATGTGCCCTCTGTCTCTGAGCTCTCTGCTTTCCTACTTTCAAGGCCTGCCGGGTTCTGAGAGATGGAGGGTCTGGAATGCTTTCTCAAGACACTGCGTCTTCTTCCTCCTGTCCCATTCTTTTCCAGCTTTCCCTTTCATCTGCCTCTGAGCTATGATCTCCCTCAAACCCCTGCTGTAATTCAAAACTCTCTTCTTATCTGGAAGGGTCAGGCTGGGGAAGCAGTCACCACCATTCCTCCTCTGCCCAGTCCCTGACATCACCTCTATCCAGCCTTGAAGAGGTCTTATCACAGCTCAAGGACTCATCACAGCCAGCAAGAACACTCTAGGAAGCTGGTGAGCATCTCCACCCCCATCGTTCTGCCCGGATGCTGAGGTCCAGCGCCGAGGGCCTTCTGGCGGTTCCCTCACTGCGAGAAGCAAAGCTACTGGGAACCAGGCAGAGGGCCTTCTCGGTAGTGGCACCCGCCCTGTGGAACGCCCTCCCATCAAATGTCAAAGAGATAAACAACTACCTGACATTTAGAAGACATCTGAAGGCAGCTCTGTTCAGGGAAGTTTTTAATGTGTGACATTTTAATGTATTTTTAATCTTTGTTGGAAGACGTTCAGAGTGGCTGGGGAGACCCTGATGGGAAGTTCTGCTTCTGCACATGAAGCTGAAGCATTCCTTTCCTCACCCACCCTAGAATGTTCAGTTCACATTGAGTTCATGACACATCATACCCTGACCTGTTCTTAATGCATGGTTGACCACATCTACGGAATGCGATTGTTATGTTCTTTTAAGTGTTGCTATATCAATCACTAGTAATAGTTTAATAAGGAGGTTCTCATACCTGTCCAGCAATATCAATCACTAGTAATAGTTTAATAAGGAGGTTTTCATACCTGTCTAACCATGTGTTCCCTTTCCCAACCCATTAATCTATTGATGATTAATGCCCTTGCATTGTATTAGTGTTAACCAATCAGCAACAAGCACATATGTGGCAATGCTGTAATATTCAATAAAAGGAACTTCCCGAGACATGCTCGGCAGATGCCTCCCATATGACACTTGTCACTCGTCAGTCGTTTATTTCAACCCAACAAGACCCAGCCAGATGGACAGGGTACAAATAATAAATTATTATTATAATTATTATGTCTGGTGAAGAGTCGCAAAGGCCAAAGAGAAAACCCTGGGGGCACAGTTGGCCCATGGGCCTGGACTTCTCTATTTCCATCCTGATGAAATAAGCAACAAAGTAGACAGTCACTAGATGTGTCACATGCAGCCATGAATCTTCTTCACCTTCTTCCTCACCTTCTCCACTAGGAGTGAGACCCCATAAAAACCCCTCCTGTTATGTAAATTTGCACCACACCCACACCCACCCATCCAGCCACATGGTTGCCTCCGATGCTAGTCCTACTCAGAGTAGACTCACTGAAATGAATTTTTAAAATCCAACCATTAATCTCAAAGGGTCTGCACTCTGGGCGGCGGGCCTGACTGAACAATCAGGCTTCCCTCAGGTCTGCTCCAAGGGGATTTAAAGCTGCTCTCACTCGCCCTGGCATCCTTAGGTAAAGGTAAAGTTAAAGGGCCCTGGACGGTTAGGTCCAGTCAAAGGCAACTCTGGGATTGTGGCGCTCATCTCATTTTCAGGCCAAGGGAGCCGGCATTTGTCCGCAGACAGCTTTCCGTGTCATGTGGCCAGCATGACGAAACTGCTTCTGGCACAATGAAACACTGTGATGGAAACCAGAGCACATGGAAATGCCGTTTACCTTCCTGCCACAGCGGTACCTATTTATCTACTTGCACTGGTATGCTTTTGAACTGCTAGGTTTGCAGAAGCTGGGACAGAGCAACGGGAGCTCACCCCATCACGGGGATTCAAACCACCAACCTTTTGATCGGCAAGACCAAGAGGCTCAGTGGTTTAGACCGCATTGTCACCCTTATTGCCTACCCTGTTCTTTTGCTAAACGTATGAACGGAAGGGGTTTGTAAAACAGGAGTGGGGAACTTCGGATGTTTTTAGACTCCTATTTCTTACATCCCTGGCCACTGGCTGATGGGAGTTATAGTCTCAATGAGGGGCACCAGGGAGGGAAAAGCTGTGCTTGAGAACAGTGACAGATTGCCAGGCATTTAGAGTGCTAAAGTAGCTGAACAGCTCCCTGGTGCAGGTAATCTCATTGTCAGGCTTTTGTGCAACCCAGCAACAGAAATATATACAGAGATGCTTAATGGGAAAGCACACGAGTGCTGATTGATTGAACATGGCCAATAATATTCCTTTTGATGTGCAATGGCTTTTAAAACAAAAAATAAAAGCAAAAAAGTTGAACAGTTGGAACTCTGCAAGTCTACTGAGCCTGAATAACAAGATGCTTCCTCCAATTTTCATCCCCCTGCTGTGGATTCTCAAGAAGCGCATTATTGATTTTAAAACAGCAAGTCCCGTAGCAGTCAAAGCACTTTGTAAGAGACCATGGGCTTTTTAATTTAACCTGGTCGTTGAACCGATTGTCAAAACTAGACCATTGATTCATTATCAAATCTAAGGTTCAAAATGTAGGTCAAAAAAGCTGTCTGAAAAGTATAAATAGAGACAGCTTGTATTTAATGGGCATGAGTTAGAATAGCTAGATTTCTGCTGTCAATGACCTGACAGTTTAATTAGCAGCTATACCGGTGACCTCTCATTGTGCAAGTCTACAGGAGCCATGCTCAAATTATAATTGTTTGACCTAAGGGGGGGAATTAAATGTTGACCCTACATGAGGTCAGAAATACCTGACCCAACACAGTATGTATACTACCTGCTTGGCTGTGCTGTTGAGTTACTTGAAAGGTGATGCTGGCTATCTTCATAACATTTGCACACAAGAATCAAGATAAAAGAAGAGCATGTGTATTTCTGTCTTGCAAATAATCCCCTCTCCACACTTAAGTTTAGATACCTTTGACCTCCCCTTAGTGTATTTGCAAAACTACACGGACACAGTTGCCCGTCAGGTTTGGAATAAGCAAAGCTGACAAATCAGCAACCAATCAGTGGATTCATCCTGATCTCACAGTGGCCACCCAGATGCCCACGGGAAACCTGCAAAACAGGATCTGAGTGTGAGAGCACTTTTCTCTGGTTTCCAACAACTGGCATTCAGTAGTACTATTGCTTCTGACTATGGAGGCAAAGCCAAGCCCTTGTGGCTAGTAGCCATAATAGTCAACTCCTAGGGGCTGAGGTCCCTACACCACACCCTTAATAAAATATCTGAGGGGACAGGGCCCCACAAAATTGGTGGGCACTGCCATTATGAACCTACCTAGACCCTGAAATCATCTTCTGAGGCCCTCCTTCGTGTGCCTCCTCCTCGAGAGGTCTGGAGGGTGGCGACACGAGGATGGGCCTTCTCTGCAGTGGCTCCCCGTCTGTGGAATGCTCTCCCCAGGGAAGTTCTCCTGGTGCCTTCATTATATACCTTTAGGCGCCAGACAAAATTTTCCTTTTTAACCAGGCTTTTGGTTGACCTGGTTGACAGGTCAATCGGGGGGGGGGTGTTATTGGGTTATTGTTTTTATTTTGATTTTATACAGTGTGATCTTTACTGTGTGATCTTTACTGAGACCTCCGGGTATAGGGCGGTATATAAATTCAATCAACAAACAAACAAATTCAAATGGTGTGCATACCCTGCATCTTGTGATTGATTAGGGGGCAGGGCTTACCTGCCTTCCCCTCAATATTTTATTCAAGTTGGCACCCCACCAGTAGCCATTGGAGCCTTATCCTCCATGAATTCCTCTAATCCTTTTATAAAGCTGTCAAAATTGGTGCTAGCACCACTCATGTGTTCCATAGGTTAAAATTGCTGTGCATGATCTGAAGCCCTGGATGTTTTAGGTTTCATGCAAACCTTTGCACTTAACTGAATGATAATTGCATTTTTTTTACACTGTTGTAACTTACTCTGGAATCTTAGAGTAGGTCTTGAAAGACCTACACTGGCTCCCAGTACGTTTCCGAGCACAATTCAAAGTGTTGGTGCTGACCTTTAAAGCCCTAAATGGCCTCGGTCCAGTATACCTGAAGGAGCGTCTCCACCTCCCTTGTTCTGCCCGGACACTGAGGTCCAGTCCCACGGGCCTTCTGGCGGTTCCCTCACTGCGAGAAGCCAAGTTACAGGGAACCAGGCAGAGGGTCTTCTTGGTAGTGACGCCTGCCCTGTGGAACGTCCTCCCACCAGATGTCAAAGAGAATAATAACTACCAAACTTTTAGAAGACATCCCTGCTTAGGGAAGCTTTCAATGTTTAATACATTATTGTATTTTAGTGTTTTGTTGGAAGCCGCCCAGAGTGGCTCGGGGGACCCAGCCAGATGGGCGGGGTATAAATAATAAGTTGTTGTTGTTGTTGTTGTTGTTATTATTATTATTATTATTATTATTAGAGTGAAGGGAATGCTTGAAGTGCACAGCCTGGGATAGGGTGATGGCAACAGGCCCCACTCCCTCACATTTTATTTTTTAAACTAGGGTATAAATATCAGAATAGGGGTAAATATTAATCATATATCAATATATAATCCTCAATCTGAAGGCTGTGTGTGTGTGTGTGTTATTATATGAGGTGATTCTATTGTTAAAATATGTGGATCTTTCATTTTGCTTTTAATTTGCACACCACTCATTGCCTCCCTGAAGCCAGCCCGCCTCATGAATTCCTGGCAAGTCAAGGTCAAATGCACATAGGAAGAGAACGATCAAAGAAACAAAGTTGGATAGTGATTTTTAAAATGATTTTTCTTCCACGAGAAGCAACCACCCTGGTCAGATTTATGGAGATTTGAATTATTCTTCCCACCGTACATCATTTATTCCGACAGGAGAGTCTAAGCGATGCCACAGAATTTTTTAATCTCCCGATGTTCATTACTTTTGATGCAGGACATTCTCACCAACTCAGCAATTTACAGTGACAGAATTAAAGTAGATGAGAGAGACATCAAGTAATGAAAACAACGATGGGACCTGGAAAATTCATCCTGTAGCCATTATTAACCCAGTGCTAATCTGCTTATTGACATTCTGCAGTGCCCTCTTCAGGCATTCTCTAACTGTAAAAAGCAGAGATGAGGAACCTTTGGTCCCCTGGATGCTGTTAATATTCCATCCCTCATCAGCCCCAGAATAGCTAAAGGGCTGAAGAACCCATGAACGTCTGCAAAAAACCACATCTGCACATGATGTCCTGATGTCTAAAAATTTGTGTGGTGGTCTGAGAAGGGGAAGGGTCCAGGAACAGATTTATACACAGAGAGGCTTTCCTAATTTGTGTCAAGTAAGGGGTGAAGGGGACTAATGTTTTTAAAGCAACTCTTGTTTTGAAGCTCAATGAAACCAGTGATTAGAGAAGGCAGCCTGGCTTGCCTTTGATTCTTTATTAAATATCAAGCACAGAAATCTCTCTGGAATCGGAGTTGTCTTCCTTTGCCCCAGGTGTTTAATATCTTTTGGATGCTTAGGAAAGCCTAAGGGAAACAGCAACCTTTCATGGTAAATAGTGTTAAAGCTACGGCAACAGAAGGTCAGCGATCCTTTGTGTGAAGTTCATAGGTGAAATTTACAATGGGAGATGCTACCCAATAAATGTATTTGTTTTCCCTATTGACAGGACCAAAAGAGTTGTCGCTTTGGGTCTTAACCCTGTTCGTATCCTTATGCAGTTTTATTACATTGGCAGCTTGTGAGTCACCCAAATTTCCCAGCTAGTGTCAAGATAGGATTAACTATTGAGCTAAATGTGTCAGATCTATGTTTAAACAGAAACCTGTTCAATATATGTAACAATATCCACGAAATTAAGACCCCCCCCCCCCAATCTCACACACAAGGTTTTAAAGATGAATGGGTCATTTGCAACTGAGGATTCAGGTACATTAGTTTTTTTATATAAAAAAGAAGTGTTTTATTTTTATTTTTTATATTTTACAAGGTTGTTATTGTACTTCACCAGATCTTAACCTATTACAGTATTTGTAAGAATGGATTTCAAATATAATTGAATTTGTCCATGGCAAGTCTGCGTTTATATGCAAGTTGTTCATATGTTGAAAGTTTGTATAAGTCAATCCAATCGTAGAAGGGAGCCGAATTTTTATTTTTCCAATTCATCAGTATCAGTCTTTTTGCTGTGGTAAGGGCACGGAGAGTCCATTCATATTGTCCTTTTGTCAGGTTCCATGTGCTGGGTATATAATTCAAGAGGGTATTTTGCTCTGTAAATGTAAGGTTGTTCTGTACAGTTCTGTTGATGGTTTCAATTACCTTCTGCCAAAAAAAGTGTTTTAAATGAGTTATCACTCTCTGACACCAGAGGGCGCTGTAGAGTTCCATCTAATTTGAGTAGTAGAGTGCTTGGTATCTGGTGGGCAGGGCTTGTGTGCTTTGGTCAGGAATCAGTCCCTCCCTTCAGTGTGTGTTCAGTTGAGAATGTCAGTTAACAGAGACCCAAACTCTCTTTTTGTTTCTTGCCTCAGGCTTGCCTCACATTGCTGTATTTAGTTTCTCTTCTTATGTCCTTTTCTTGAAGTGCAACCTGTGTTCATCTGTGGTACAAGAGGCTTCGACACGGAAACGTCAGGATTATAGTAAACCTGCCAAATAAAGGTTTGGTGAGATGAAGGAACTTAAACCTTGTAAAGTTGACCTGAATAGTGAAATATGTGGGGCTTGCTAGCTTGGGAAGTCCCATATCTTTCACTCCATAAGACGCACCTGACCATAGGACGCACCTAGTTTTTAGAGGAGGAAAGGGGGAAAGCCCCGTTTTTTTGGGGGGGGAGAGTCAGCTCAAAGTTGTGCAGGTACTTTTGCAAAGGGGGAAAGCCCCTTTTCTGAGGATCAGCTCAAAGTTGTTGAGCTTACTTTGCAAAGGGAAAAAATACTGTTTTTATGGGGTTCAACTCACAGTTCTGCAGCTTCTTTAGGAAAGGAAAGCGAGCTGTTTCTACAGTTTCCAGACAGATAATCTAATTAGCCAGTCACATGTTGCTGGGGAAACAAACAGCCTCCATCTGTGGAACATTCAACAATGGAGGCCTGGGCAAGGGGCCGGGGCCGGAAAGGGAGCCAGCGATCGACCACACATTCGCTCCATAAGACGCACAGACATTTCCCCTTACTTTTTAGGAGGAAAAAAAGTGTGTCTTATGCCAGTCAAACAGGTCTTCCCTGCAAAAAAAATCCCCAGATTTCACAACATTGGAGTAGTGTGAGTGGGGGCTGGGGGCACCACATTGGGGACCCTGGGCAGAGTAGTTGGGGCAATCTCATCCTTTATATCCAGCCTGTGGCTCCAGACCAAATTATCACTCAGGAGAGCTATGGCCTGGTCAGCACACAGGCATGTGACCCCCCCAGCTGTCCTGAGCCTGCTCTAGCTCAGAAATCACACACCTACTCCCCAAGCTAGCAAGCCCCACCTGGGATGTGGGTCCTTGCCCGCCTTCCCTCAGAGCTAACAGCTGTAACTTCAGGAATCCTGAGATCACGGGTGGTACGTCCCATTTCGCCCCTTGAGGCAAAACAGGAAGTGCCACCCTGCTCTGCCACACCACCACGCCACTCACCACCAATGCGCCACCTGCTGGTGGCACTGCAGCTTCTTGGAAGATCTGCTGTATCAAGCTACTTAAAGTAGACATCAGTGAATCTGTCAATGTCAGTTTCTCCCTGTTTCTCATTCATCCAGTTTTAAGTTCAGTTCTCCTCACATCCACATCTGTTTGTGGTTATAATTATTTTGAAACGGTCTCATGAAAATTCATTTGAAGTTCTCACACTAGATACATTTTTGCAAAGCCATTTTGTGCTGTGGAATGTATTTTATATGTTATTTTCACGAATATATATACACACTCCCCCCCCCCCCAATGTGTGCATTTTCCTACATATTACTTGAGTGGAGAGCTGCATTGCAAAATTCAGAAAAGTGCAAATTTTGCAGGAGGATTCTGTTTTCGTTTGGGTCTTGTTCCCTTTTTTTCTGTCCCTAATCGAGACAGGAAAGAGAAGACCTTAGAATTTGCGTGACCACGATCACATGATAGGGCTTCTGAACATGACCAGATTTCAAGAATAGTACAGAGTGGTATCCTTGGTACAAGTTTGTGACTTAAAAGGTAAAAAGGTAAAGGACCCTTGACAGTTAAGTCCAGTCGCCAACGACTCTGGGGTTACGGTGCTCATCTCACTTTACTGGCTGAGGGAACCAGCATTTGTCTGCAGAGTTTTTCCAGGTCATGTGGCCAGCATGACTAAGCCGCTTCTGGCAAAACCAGAGCAGCGCACTGAAACATCATTTACCTTCCCACTGCAGTGGTACCTATTTATCTACTTGCACTTTGCCGTGCTTTCGAACTGCTTGGTTGGCAGGAGCTGGGACCGAGCAATGGTAGCTCACCCCATCACAGGGATTCGAACCGCCGACCTTCCAATCGGCAAGCCCTGGGCTCAGTGGTTTAGACTTCCCAATTGCTGAATTGGCACACTGTAATGTCACTGTACTTTTCTTTTCCATTTTTGCAAACATTTTGGTTACAGTGTTGACCTAAAATCTGAAACAAGACAGTGCTTTGTAGGAAAGTGTAATTTAGGGCAATCTGTTGTGCAGTGTAATTATGTAGCCAGTACATTATATGAATGAATAATGTTTGTGCAATGCTGATGGAAGCCTAATGAGGAAATGGTGCGTTTGGAAATGATATGATACATTATGGTGGGAGCCTATATAGCTATTGCTATAAAAAAACTGTAGCCTAGTGCTGTATAAATTATTTAGAGCCGTGGAAATGAGCTGCCAGTGAAGTCCATGTGGATAAGCTCCCAAGTCAAACGGCATACTGAGTCCCATCATGTCCAGAATGCAACACATTAGGATGTCTGTTTCCATTTTCAATTTACAGAAGGAGGGCCTGGAGCTTTGAAAATGGCACTTTTTGCTATTTTGACAGTGCTGAACACACAGAAAGGAACACACACACACAAACACACACACACACACAAACACTTTTGGGGGTGAAGTCTTTCAGATGCATTCATATTCAAAGCGGATTAAGGAGTAAATAAGTAGTAAATAAGAATTCTCGGTTTAAAAATCCCAGGGTGAAATTCAGTGTTGCTTTATCACAGACATTCCCTCTGCACAAGTATTTTACCTTGCCAGATGGTACAGTCCCCTTCTTCTCTCTTTGAACACTATTCTGGGGGATTCTTCTGACCCATCCAGGCCAATTTCAGGGTTTGTGGGTGAATCCAATCCCCAGTGTTTATGTGCTGAAACTTAGGTAGCCAAATCCAAATTTCAGACATTAATAAGGGACTCAAAACTATAGCATTCTGGTTTCACCCAAGAAGTCCCATCAGTGAAAATCCTGGGCAGGTATACCATGTATGCAGCTTGCAACCAGCGGTGTGCACCACTTCTGTGTATTTGCTGAACTGTAAAGTGAAAATAAGTGATTGGATTAGGCTTTTACATGCCTGAATATGTTCCAGTCATTAACAAAAAGCTCTATATTGTAATCACAGCAATGTATTTGTCATTGAAATTCTACTCAGTATTGATCCAGAGTAGATTCCAGCGTAATGTTAGCAGAGTAAAAACTTAAACACATTGCGGGATTCCCCAAAAATAGACCAGAGGCAATTAATATTTCATCCAGCAGAGCTTTACTGCTACTGAAGGCAAATGAACATAATGGTAACAAATCCAATACATTCAGGATTGGCACTGTCCATAAGAAATCCAGTTGCAGCAGACTTAACTTAAACTTACAGTACAATAACATAAAATAAGACTAAACCTTAACACGATATACAGAACACCACACCAGAAGGGAAAGAGATAGAAAGAGTGAAACCCAGTCTCCTTCTGGCCTTACTTTTATAATCAACATGACCTTGACAGAAGAGATAAGAGAACCAGTTTGGAGAGGTTTGATCTTCTCCCTGTCCACGGGACTCTCAAGAGTCTTCTCCAGCACCATAATTCAAAAGCATCAATTCTTCTGCGATCAGCCTTCTTTATGGTCCAGCTCTCACTTCCATACATCACTACTGGGAAAACCATAGCTTTAACTATACGGACCTTTGTTGGCAAGGTGATGTCTCTGCTTTTTATGATGCTGTCTAGGTTTGTCCTTGCTTTTCACCCAAGAAGCAGGCGTCTTTTAATTTCGTGGCTGCTGTCACCATCTGCAGTGATCATTGAACCCAAGAAAGTAAAATCTCTCACTGCCTCAATTTCTTATCCCTTCTATTTGCCAGGAGGTGATGGGATTACTGAGGTACCATAAAGCAATTCAAGAGTCCCTGTGCTACTTGTGCTAACTTGTGCAGATCTTGCATTGCCGCCGACAAATCCTCAATCCCTCTGAGGCTTACCAATTTGGCCTGGGAATTAGGATCCATCCACATCTGATGCACACCTGTAGAATACAACGAAACTGCAAAGACTGCTTTATGACAATGATGGCCTCTTAAAACGTGACCCGTTGAACATTGCATATTCCTGTGAAGTTAAGTGGAGGTCTCACGATATACCCATGAAATATAAACTACAGTAGACTCTCCTAATATTTCCCAGTGGGCCCCTATTCTTTTTGGAGCAGCCGAGGAACAGCCTTTTGATGAATCCATTTACCGTTCTTGCAAAATGTTTGAATTGCTCAAAGCAGCTGGTGTTACAAATCCAAACTGTCTCATCTTGCATGTTGTCAGCATAGCATGTCAGTATGGAGGTTATGATTAGTAAACTGCAAGGATGGATGGCTGTTTTAATAGGCAACCCCATCTGGGACCACAGGTATTAAACCTGAGCATGGCACACTCAAGCATTTTAGCGCTGTTGGAGTATCCGAGACACTGAGCTCATGAATGGTAGTGGGGGGTCTTTTTTCTTAGAATCTGATTTTACAAAGTCAGCCACCTATTAATACTATAATGCCACAAGTTAGGTAATAGCTCACTTAATCTCTTGATGGACATGATCAGTTTGTCTAAGAATGTACAAGAATTCTAACAAAAATTCTTGCTGGATCAGACTAAGAATGATAAGAATACTAATAAGAATACTAATAAGAATAATTTATTATTTATACCCCGCCCATCTGGCTAGGTTTCCCCAGCCACTCTGGACAGTTTCCCAACCAAATATTAAAAACACGAGAAAACATCCAACATAAACTACTTCCCTATGCAGGACTGCCTTCAGATGTCTTCTAAAAGTCAGATAGTTGTTTATTTCCTTGAGGTCTGATGGGAGGGCGTTTCACAGGGTGGGCGCCACCACAGAGAAGGCCCTCTGCCTGGTTCCCTGTAACTGCAAATGCAACACATTGAAAGGGTCCTAATGAAAATTGGGACACGGGTGGCGCTGTGGTCTAAACCACTGAGCCTAGGGCTTGCCGATCAGAAGGTCGGCGGTTCGAATCCCCGTGACAGGGTGAGCTCCCGTTGCTCTGTCCCAGCTCCTGCCAACCTAGCAGTTCAAAAGCATGTCAAAGTGCAAATAGATAAATAGGTACCGCTCCAGTGGGAAGGTAAATGGCGTTTCTGTGAACTGCTCTGGTTTCACCGGAAGTGGTTTAGTCATGCTGGTCACATGACCTGGAAAAACTGTCTGCAGACAAACGCTGGCTTGCTCGGCCAGTAAAGTGAAATGAGCACTGCAACCCCAGTCATTCACGACTGGACTTAACTGTCAGGGGTCCTTTACCTTTACCTAATGAAATTTTCACTTGAATGAAGAACAAAGGTTAAAGCAGCATTGACCGCACAGGTCCCTATTGTCAGCTTTCTAAGCAGATGACTAGATGTATCATGACAGGTGCCCCTCAACCAGTTGTCTCCTCAAGCTTAGCATCCTGGATCATTGGCCTCTAAATCCAGCCCTGGCAGTTGAACTGTGCAAACTGTTTTAGCAGTTCAAGCTACTAGAGACCACTGGTGTATTGTTTTCATGCAGCGAAACAAGCAGCAATTGAAAGTGACATCTGACAGACTTTGGGAAAACATGATTGGCTTTTGTTTACTCATTTAATGCCAACAGAAAGATGATGAATGATCCCCGCTGAGGTTGGCGAAAGCTACGTGAAGGTGATGAATTTGCAATTCTCGAAATGTGAAAACGTTCCATCCCCAAAGTTCTAGGGAGATTAATTTAGTTGAAAAGAGGACTCTATTTGTTACTTGCAGAGGTATGTCTTGAGTAGGGAAAAAGATGACATGGGGAATCATAAATGCTCACCAGGCAGTGTGGGTAGGAAGGAAGGCTATGAGGATTTACAGCCTGAGATGTTAGTGATGGTGGTAGAGGAGGACAGAATGCAGGCAAGCAATATCTTACACTTTTTCATTGCTTTTTCATCCATTCTGTGACCAAGGGATCCCTAAGCTTTACAGTTGCTCTTCGATGAAGTACAGTTCTGCAGCTGTAGCTCAGTGACAGAGCACCTGAGGAAAGTCACAAGTTCACTCCCTGGTGTTTCCAAGCCACACTGGGAGAGACACATGTCTGAATCTTTGGTGTGGTGTTGCCCACCAGTGTAATAATAATAATAATAATAATAATTTATTTGTACCCCGCCCATCTAGCTGGGTTTCCCCAGCCACTCTGGGCGGCTTCCAACAAAGATTAAAAATACATTAAAATGTCACACATGACAAATACCCCTTCCTCTTGGTTCATGTGGGAACCAATGACACTGCAAGCAATAGCCTCCAGAAGATCAAAAGAGACTACGAGGCTCTGGGCAGGAAATTGAAGCAATTAAATGCACAAATTGTGATCTCATCTGTCCTCCCAGTTGAACAACGTGGCCCAGGGAGAGAGGGAAAATAGTGGAAGTGAACAGCTGGCTTCGCAAATGGTGTAAACAGGAACGGTTTGGATTCTTAGATCACGGACTGCAGTTTCTTGAAGATGGACTTCTGGCAAGCGATGGGCTGCACCTCACAACGGTTGGGAGAAATGTTTTTGCCAAAAATCTCAGAAACCTCATCAGGAGGGCTTTAAACTGACTAATGTGGGGGAGGAGACAGTGCTCCTGAAGGTAGGAGTCTATCAATTGATGAAGATGATCATCCAAATGTCATAGACCAAATGGAGCAAACAGCACACAGACCTAGTGGTGGGAGGAAAAAATCCTTAAATAAGAGACACAGGGGAATGATTAATGGACTTCAATGTCTGTACACTAATGCGCAAAGCATGGGAAATAAACAAGATGAGCTTGAGCTCTTGGTACAGCAAACTAAATATGACATAATAGGCATCACTGAAACCTGGTGGGATAAGTCCCACGATTGGAATGTAATCATGGGGGATACAATCTATTTCAGAGAAACAGACCAGACAAGAAAGGAGGAGGAGTGGCGTTATATGTCAGGGATGTGTATACCTGTGAAGAGATCCAAGATTTAGAACCTCAAAGCCAAAGTGAGAGCATTTGGGTCAAAATTAAGGGAGAGAAGAATAACAGTGACCTCATTGTGGGAGTTTACTATAGATCCCCAAGCCAAACGGAGGACATAGATGATGCCTTCCTGGAACAGATGGCCAAGCATGCAAAAGGAAGGGAGATAGTAGTAATGGGGGACTTCAATTACCCGGATATTTGTTGGATGTCAAACTCAGCCAAGAGCATAAGGTCAAACAGATTCCTCACTGGCCTTGCAGACAACTTCATTGTCCAGAAAGTGGGAGAAGCAACAAGAGGAACAGCCATTTTAGATCTGGTCCTAACCAATGTTGATGACCTGGTTAGTGGGGTAGAAGTGGAAGGATCATTAGGCGCGAGTGATCATGCTCTTCTGAAGTTTACTATACAGCGGAAAGGAGCAGCCAAGCATACTAGGACTCAATTTCTTGACTTTAAGAAAGCTGACTTCATAAAACTTAGGGAAGTGCTGGGTGAGATCCCATGGACAGTAATACTAAAAAGAAAGGGAGTTCATGATGGCTGGGAGTTTGTTAAGAGGGAGATACTAAAAGCACAATGTCAGGCAATACCAATGAGACAGAAACATGGAAGGTGCCTAAAGAAGCCAGGGTGGCTATCTAAAGAACTTTTAACTGAGTTAAGATTTAAAAAGGATGTGTACAAAAAATGGAAAAGGGGAAACCACCAAAGAGGAATTCAAACAAATAGCCAGCACGTGTAGACACAAAGTCAGAAAAGCTAAAGCACAGAATGAACTCAGGCTTGCTAGAGAGGTTAAAAGCAACAAAAAAGGCTTTTATGGGTATGTCAGTAGCAAAAGGAAGAACAAAGAAACAGTGGGGTCACTCAGAGGAGAAGATGGTGAAATGCAAACAGGGGACACAGAAAGGGCTGAACTCCTCAATGCCTTCTTTGCCTCAGTCTTCTCCGATAAAGAAAACAATGCCCGACCTGAAGAATTTGGAGCAAATGATTCAGCAAAGGAAACACAGCCCAGAATAACTAAGGAGATAGTACAAGAATACTTGGCTAGTTTAGATGTATTCAAGTCTCCAGGGCCAGATGAACTGCATCCAAGAGTATTAAAAGAACTGGCAGATGTGATCTCAGAACCACTGGCAGTCATCTTTGAGAATTCCTGGAGAACAGGCGAAGTCCCGGCAGACTGGAGGAGGGCAAATGTTGTCCCTATTTTCAAAAAGGGAAAAGAGAGGACCCAAATAATTACCGCCCAGTCAGTCTGACATCAATACCAGGGAAGATTCTGGAGCAGATCATTAAGGAAACAGTCTGTGAGCACCTAGAAAGGAATGCTGTGATCACCAATAGTCAGCATGGATTTCTGAAAAATAAGTCATGTCAGACTAACCTGATCTCGTTTTTGACAGAATTACAAGCCTGGTAGATGAAGGGAACGCAGTGGATGTAGCCTACCTTGATTTCAGCAAGGCATTTGACAAGGTGCCTCATGATATTCTTGTAAAGAAGCTGGTAAAATGTGGTCTTGACTATGCTACCACTCAGTGGATTTGTAACTGGCTGACTGACCGAACCCAAAGGGTGCTCATCAATGGTTCCTCTTCATCCTGGAGAAGAGTGACTAGTGGGGTGCCACAGGGTTCTGTCTTGGGCCCGGTCTTATTCAACATCTTTATCAACGACTTGGATGATGGACTCAAGGGCATCCTGATCAAATTTGCAGATGACACTAAATTGGGAGGGGTGGCTAACACCCCAGAGGACAGGATCACACTTCAAAACGACCTTGACAGATTAGAGAACTGGGCCAAAACAAACAAGATGAATTTTAACAGGGAGAAATGTAAAGTATTGCACTTGGGCAAAAAAATGAGAGGCACAAATACAAGATGGGTGACACCTGGCTAGAGAGCAGTACATGTGAAAAGGATCTAGGAGTCTTGGTTGACCACAAACTTGACATGAGCCAACAGTGTGACGCGGCAGCTAAAAAGCCAATGCAATTCTGGGCTGCATCAATAGGAGTATAGCATCTAGATCAAGGGAAGTAATAGTGCCACTGTATTCTGCTCTGGTCAGACCTCACCTGGAGTACTGTGTCCAGTTCTGGGCACCACAGTTCAAGAAGGACATTGACAAACTGGAACGTGTCCAGAGGAGGGCAACCAAAATGGTCAAAGGCCTGGAAACGATGCCTTATGAGGAACGGCTAAGGGAGCTGGGCATGTTTAGCCTGGAGAAGAGGAGGTTAAGGGGTGATATGATAGCCATGTTCAAATATATAAAAGGGTGTCACATAGAGGAGGGAGAAAGGTTGTTTTCTGCTGCTCCAGAGAAGCGGACATGGAGCAATGGATCCAAACTACAAGAAAGAAGATTCCACCTAAACATTAGGAAGAACTTCCTGACAGTAAGAGCTGTTTGACAGTGGAATTTGCTGCCAAGGAGTGTGGTGGAGTCTCCTTCTTTGGAGGTCTTTAAGCAGAGGCTTGACAACCATATGTCAGGAGTGCTCTGATGGTGTTTCCTGCTTGGCAGGGGGTTGGACTCAATGGCCCTTGTGGTCTCTTCCAACTCTATGATTCTATGATTCTATGAAAAACTTCCCTGAACAGGGCTGCCTTCAGATGTCTTCTAAATGTCAGGTAGTTGTTTATCTCTTTGACATCTGATTGGAGGGCATTCCACAGGGCGGGCACCACTACCGAGAAGGCCCTCTGCCTGGTTTCCTGTAGCTTTGCTTCTCACAATGAGGGAACCGCCAGAAGGCCCTCGGCGCTGGACCTCAGCGTCCAGGCTGAATGATGGGGGTTGAGACGCTCCTTCAGTATACTGGGACGACAGTTCTGAGCTAGGTGGCCTATGCTCTGATTATTATGTGTTCTCATGTGTTGCCATCTCTTTAAGAAAAGAAAATCCAATTGCAGTAGGCCTCAGGAGAACGATATCTCCTATGGTCTCCTGGGTTTTGCATCCTTGTGTGTTGCCCTAGGTGGTAGCAAGGGACGGAAGGAAACAAAATCACCCCCTCCTCTCATCTTGCCACTTATTTCCACTGCTACAACATAATTGAAAGAGGAGAGGGAGGATTTGCGGGGAGCTTGGGGCAGGCAGGACTGGCTTTGGAGGATAGGAATGGCTGGTAGGGATGATTGGCGTGAAATTGGGAATTCTTCTCTGGCTTAGATTTTGACCATCAGAACAGAAGTCAAGTAGTGAGTAGTCTAATGATAAGGAAGGAAGGATTGTGATGGTGAAATGGGTCATTGTCTCTGGATGTTAAACAGAAGGTTGGTGGGTTGAGCCCACCCAGGGATGGCTATGGGCACAATTCCTGCACTATAGGGGTCTGGACTAGATGAGCCTTGGCATCCCACAAGTCTATGATTTTATGAAATGGTTCTCATAATGTGGCATAAGAATTCTTCACAGAAAGACTCCAAAGTTGGCTGGCCATATTTGTAGCTTCCTTTCTATAGTTCAGGATAAATCATATGTACCACTCTTCCCCCAAGACTGGAGTTCAGGCAATTTGGCAGCGTAGCCTTTTTCACTCACACAATAAACATGATGGATTCTATAATGTTTAGCCGTCTAAGTTTTTCATGCAAATTATTCTGATGCGATTGTGGCAAAGAATAAGTCTTTCCCTCAGAAAAATGCCGCAACAACAACACTGTCTGCCTAGTTTAACTTAAGCAATTAGAAAGACACTTATGCAAAGCTTATCAACCTAATTAACATTTGACAATATCAACACGCTCACCAATTTTAAATTACTCTTGATAGAGTTGCATAGAAAATTTCGTTCAGTTAGACACGTAATAGCTACGCTGCTACATTTGCTATGCTTTGAATTTGGGGTAGAAATGAGCAGGACAAGAACTTGGAAAGAGAA